CTTTCATGTTTAAAAGGATAAAACTATTGATAATAATCAGCCACTCATTAGTAGAAGCAGCCCTTGTTAGCTACCACAATTGGGTCATTGGCAACTTGGTCATTAAGCGAAGTGAAATTGGTTTTAAATAATGGAAAACTAATCATAGGAAGAGAAAAAAAAGTTCTCTAGTTGTTATCTAGAGGTAGTCCTTGTTTAACAAACATAATTGGAACTGGCAGTGAAGTGGAAGCAGTTACTAAGTGAAACTGCAACTGTGCTTATGGTCTTACTTTAACTTTTCTTTGCAGACCAGTGAAGGTTGTAAATGCAAGGATTGGTTGTAAAGTTACTTTTTTCTCACTATCATAACTGTGAATGATCACTGAGGAGTACCCTTTTCTTATAAATTACAGCCATAGAAATTGCTTAAATATTTCCTAGAAAATTATACTACTTATAATGAATGACCTGTCAATTGACTTCAATTTTCATTTGAAGTTTTTAGTGGTGGTATTTAATGATTGGGTATAAGGAAGATTCACTGCACTGACAACTATTATGAAAAATAAGAGAGGTTATGTACAATGAGATAACAAATAAGAGTAGTGGGACCGGATTGGTAATTGAAGCAGGTTTGAGAGTTGCATTCGGTTCGGCTAGATGATAACAGGCCAATAGTAAGATGTGTCTCAATTCCATGAATTTATATCATTCCTATTTGAGTTTAAGGTAGAGAGACAAAATAATATTAGCTGTCACTGCAGCAGAACTTGTAAATGAAGCTTTTGTCTTCAACAATTATAAGAATACAAAGCAGAAGGAAGGAGGAATGTGGGGGTCATGAAGACGGGTTAGGCTGGATTAAGCATGCAGCCAAGAGTTATTTTCACCTGATTTCAGAATTGCTTTTGTTCCACAGGGAGTATTTTGTGTATTAGTTTTAGTATTCAAGCCCAGTTAAAAAAGTTTGCACAATGACATGATTTTGTTCTCCTGTGAGCTGCTTGGAGAATCCAAGCATGGGTTAAATTCAGCCAATTAGCCTCAAGACTGAGTTAAAAAAAGTCTTGGCCACGCCTCCCTTATCCTCCAGAAGCCAGTTTTTTTAACTCAGTCTACCCGAATCGAGATGCATTCAAGACTTCTCCAATTCAATACTTCTAAAATTGGTATTAAAGGCATCTACAACTTGGATTCCCCAACAGATCTTATGATACAGTAGGTTTTGTTTTTCATGAAATTTGATGTATTTGTCTAATATAGTCTGGCTCTGATCATGCCCACTTTTGGGGCAGAGAAAATGCTACAAGACAATAGAAAGAATGTATCATCGACACAATGGACATGAATTTGGGTAGATTCAGGGAGAGAGTAGAGGACAGGGGGGGCTGGTGTGCTGTGGTCCATGGGGGTCGTGAAGCGTCAGACATGACTTAGTGACTGAACAACAACAAAACAGAAAGAAGGAATAAGTAGATTTAATTTTGGAGAGTGGTTTCTTCTTATTTCAGTATTTCATGATTTATGGCCCTACCTATGCTTGACTTTCATAAAGCTTTAAAGACTGAGATGTTCCCACAGGCATTTGAGCTGTGAAGTTAAGTGATGCCCATTGGCTGAATGTTTCATTACATCTTAATCTAAAATGGTATGGGTTTTTTTTAAGTGCGTAATAACATATGGTTTTGTTTATTTTAACTTTGCTGCCTAGGATTACATTGGTGAGGGAAGCAGCTACAAACATTTAGGTAAATAAATAATAAAATTACTCTTGTATACCAGACAAAATTCTCTTCTAAAAGTTTTCAACTGAACAGATGTATCTGAACAAGTAAATCTGTATAAACATTACAATGCTATATACATGTTCTGACTGAAATCTAATGAAATACTAGAATTGCCTCCCACAGTCTGCTGCTTCCAGATGTGTTGGCTTTAAAATTCACATGATGCTCAGCTAGCCATGTTTCCAAGAACCTACCAGACAGCACTGCTGCTAGTAAAGTGGCCTTCTTTTTTTAAAAAAGAACATACAATAGTTATCTCATAGACATTATGCTGCAATATTTGTATGACAGGCTTTACAGCACTGAAAACAAAGATAGTTGCGAAAGAGAGCTATTAAATAGTTTTAAGTCATACAATTCATACATGAATTAAAACATCTTCTTAAAGACTTCCAGTGTTGGGGCATTCACAACTTCTGGAGGCAAGCTGTTCCACTCATTAATTGTTCTAACTGTCAGGAAATTTCTCCTCAGTTCTAAGTTGCTTTTCTCCTTGATTAGTTTCCGCCCATTGCTTCTTGTTCTACCTTCAGGTGCCTTGGAGAATAGTTTGACTCCCTCTTCTTTGTAGCAACCCCTGAGATATTGGAACATTGCTATCATGTGTCCCCTAGTCCTTCTTTTCATTAAACTAGACATACCCAGTTTCTGCAGCCGTTCTTCATATGTTTTAGCCTCTAGTCCCCTAATCATTGTTGCTCTTCTCTGCACTCTTTCTAGAGTCTCCACATTTTTTCTACATCATGGTGACCAAAACTGGAGACAGTTTTCCAAGTGTGGCTTTACCAAGGCATTATCAAGTGGTATTAACACTTCATGTGATCTTGATTCTATCCCTCTGTTTATGCATCCTAGAACTGTGTTGGCTTTTTTAGCAGCTGCTGCACACTGCTGGTTCATATTTAAATGGTTATCCACTAGGACTCCAAGATCCCTCTCACAGTTACTACTATTGAGCAACTGTACTCAATAGTAGTAACTGTGGTACACACTGTACCTGTGCATTTCGTTTTTACAAAATTTGCAGTGTCCTGGGGAGTCCTGAGGTCATGCAATCACCATTTGTGAACTTTCCAGTGGGCTTCTGACAAGCAAAATCAATATGGGAAACTGGATTTGCTTAATGGCCACATAATTCACTCAACAAGGGCAGAGATGCACTTAAGAATTGTGGCAAAAAAGGTGGTAAAATCAGCTGCCTTGTTTAGCACCAGAAATTCTGGTCCCAACTGTGATTGTAAATCAAGGACTGTAATGTTCTCAAACCTGATCATATATTTACCTTTGTATCCACAGAAAGAAGAAACTCAAATAGTAATTAATCTAACATATAAACACTTAAGTAGCACCTGGATGGAAGATGATTCTACAGAGCATAGGTGAGCAACTCACGAGCCGTATGCAACCTCCTGTTTGATTTAGTGTAGCAACTACTTCTACCCTGATTTACCTGTATCCTGTGAAATGCCTGTGAAGGGTTATTCCATGTTAAAAAAACAACAAAAAAACACGAAGATTCCAAAACTGGCTTTAGGTACAAAATGTATCCTCAGAAACTACATGATCGATGCACATATAGGAGTTATTAATAAATGTCTGAATGAATGAACAGATTGGACCTCATCCTGATTAATAAATGTTCTGTATACAAAGGATTTAGAATATGATTTAGAATTCAGTCTGAGAAGACACAACATTAGATTATGGAATTCAGAGTTTCGCTTAGTATGAAAACAGTGTTGCATATCAACAGCTGGCATTTGGCAGATATTTTTAAGACAGCGAATAAGATAACACTATACATTGAAAGAACAGTCACACATTCATTAAAAAACACCTACCGACCACAGATTTGGCTCATTTTGGACAAATATACTGTAAAAACAGTTTTTGTCTACTGACACATTTCCCCCCGCCTAGACATTTATTGTCTAGACAGAGCAACAGGTGTAGGACAGTGACTCAATGAATGATGAGAATGGCCACTATTTGAAAATGTGCTCTGACTAATCAACTCGATGCCTGCAAGTTCTGTTATGTTCTTTGTTGCTCCATTTCATCCTGTGCTGCTGTGCCCAAACCAATTCACGCTGAAATGCTTCAAACCATTCTTTGGTTCCTTGACAACAAACACACAGGCGACAGCAATTTCATCATTTCTTCCTCTACTAGCAGTACAGCCAATGGAATTTATGGGTAGCTATTCACTTTCTGTAGACACTGCAGAAAGACTTTATTACCTCTTTCAAAACAAGAAAGAGAAAGGGCAAAAGGTATGTATAATGTTGTTTGGAAAGCTGCTTACTTCAAGCAGCCTGTAATAATCAGGGGATAAAGCAGGGCTAAAATAACCATTTACAAAGAGTCATCTGAAGGATTAGTCATGGTCTTTAAAATATTTCTCCAGACCTTGCTGCAGAACAGAAAACTGCAGTACAGGGAAAAAGCTAATGAGATGTTTTTCTTTCTCCATAAAAGTACCAACATAGAGAGATGGTAGAAAAAACAATGGCATCAATCTAGAGAAAAAGAACTTTAAATGTGCTATTTTTTGAGCTAGTGGTGGGTATCCTCTTAATATTTAGTTGTGTCATAAAATGAAAAATTGAATTAGCTTTTATTTCTTTATATTACTTTTGTATTGCGTAATTTCTGAAGAAATGGTTATAACAAAGAAATGATCCAACATTTTTTGGGGGGGAGTGGAACTTCAAGTTGACTCCTGGTGACTGCCTAGGCAAAATTTTCAGGGGTAAATCTGGAGCAGAAGTGGTCCCCAGGAAAGGATGAACTTTCTCAGAATGGCTTAAGAAAGCTGGAATATTCTAGGAATAAATAGCAAAACGTTTGCACATTTTTAGAGAAATAAGGAGAAAATTTCCTGACAGTTAGAACAATTGACCAGTGGAAGGGCTTGCTTTTAGAAGATGTGGGTGCTATGTATTTTTCACCATCTCTGTACATTTCCAAATGAAAAATTATATGAAAGATTGTTAAAGGGATTTTTTTTTAAAAAAAGAGGGGGAATTTTTCTTAGTGTTCACTCAAATTCCACACCCTACCCTTGGATACATTTCCTGCTACTGCAAACTAAACAGAATGAAAAATTACCCTGTTAACTCTGCCAATTGCCACCTGGAAAATCAAAATAAGGGATTTCTGAGCCTTTGTTATGATACTGCAGTCTCAAGATGCAGGTCACCTGAATACTTTTAACAAATGGTTTCTCACCTGTCCAAGTTGTTCACAAGCAGTTTGATATTCAGCTCGCTGGCAGAGATCTTTCACTCTTTGGTATTTGGGCAAAAAATTTTCTTCTTGAGCATCCGTTTTTTCATTGTCTCTTTTGTGCAACAGCTTACTGGAAAAAAAAGGTGCTTTTTTGCTTAGGAAAATACAGGTGCCTTAAATAGGTTTAAAAAATATAATGAAATTGACACAAGCTAATTCACAGATTTGGATTAATGTGTGCTTTCTATATCAGTGGTTCTCAACCTGTGGACGCCGGGGGGGGACGGGGACTGCAATGTCATCACAGGTGGTCTGCAAAGGCTGGAAGAAATGTTGTGATTTAAATCTTGAGTTAAGTCTTGGAGGTCCCTGGCCACAAAAGGTCAGGGACCCCAAGGGGAATTTGGGAATTTAGAGGAAATTTGTGATGAAGAAAAGGTTGAGAACCACTGTACTCTATACAATGCATTTTTTTCTGCTAGATAAAGCCATTGGACAACATTAGCGACTTGATTATTCATATTCTTATTTCTGGAGCTCACTGCCTCTCATGCATGCTTCTTAGTGCACTATATAAAATAAAGCTGAATTCTGTGACTTGAATGGAGAATAGTTCTCTTACTTTTTGTAATATAGAACTTTTAAAAAACTATACAATTTATAATGGTTTGTCAGAAAAGTACAACACTGAAATCTACCAATCACAATCATGAATTGGATTGAATTCTGGATTCATTATTAAAATTTCTGCCTCTTTTCTATGTTTTCATGGAATCACTATTCTTGTACACACTAATCTGTATTGTGTGTTTTCATGAATGAATAGCATAGGGAACTGATACTTTTGTCAGGTATTTATATACTGTCAGGACAAATTTAATAATCAGTTGAATGCAGTGGGAATATGGTATTTAGATAAGCCGTCTGATAAAATCAGAAGGCATGGCGCTAAGAGTGAATAGGAGATAAATGAATTTGGACTGAACACAAAAATGATTTGCTAACATGAAAAACAAACACTGCTGTAGTATGGACACATAAAGGAGAAAGGATGAAAACTGAACATAGAACAAATATCTAAAGGAAGATTAAATGGCTTGAAAATAAAACAATAACAAAAAACTGTTGGTTCCCTGGAACTTCTGAGATTCTCGAAAAAGAAAAGTGGAAGTTGAAAGAATAAAAGGCAATCACAGATTGTTCTTGGTTACTAACCACTTGTTCAGCAATTGCTCAACTGACAATGGCGCTGAACAAATGGGACTTATGACCAGTCCTTAAAGTTGGCAACTGGAAGTGCCAGAACCACCATTGCTAAGCAGTGCAGTCATGTCTGATGCCATGCTTTAGGACTGCTTAGTGAGGGAAATTCCAGCGTCAATTACTGTTGTTAAATGACTGAAGTAGTGTAAGGATAGGGTGGAAGCAAGGATAATTTGCAAACATAGACAATTATGGACAAATATAATTAATGATTTGGTGTAAATTAGATCAAGCTATAAAGGCAGTTCTCAACTTACAATCATAATTAAGCTCACATTTATTTTGAACTTATCAACAAAATATCTGTATAGTCCCTTGCCAATTTTGAGGAACTGATTCGTAGTTGTAGTCTTCCTAGAGCAGGGTTGTCAAACTCGCAGCCCATGGGCCAGATGTGTTACACATTGGCCACGCCTACCCCCGTTTTAACGAAGGGGAGGAAGTTGCAATATGTCACGTGACGACGTGTCATCGCGATTTTGACATCTCTGTCCTAGAGAATATCTAAAAACCAAGGTTATCTATATATACAGGTAGTCCTCAACTTATGGCCACAATTGAGACCAAACTTTCTGTTGCTAAGTGAGACATTTGTTAAGTGAGCTTTACTCCATTTTACAACCTTTCTTGCCACAGTTGTTAAGTGAATCACTGCAATTAAATTAACAATACAATTGTTAAGGGAATCTGGCTTGACTTTGCTTGTCAGAAGGTTATAAAAGTTGAACACATGACGCGGGGACTCTGCAATTATCATAAATATGAGCCAGTTGCCAAGTGTCTGAAGTTTGACCTCACAACTATGGGGATGCTGCAGCGGTCGTAAGTGTGAAAAATGGTCATAAGTCACTTTTTTCAGTACTTCCATACCTTTGAACCGTCACTAAATGAACTGTTGCAAGTCGAGGACTGCATGTATTTTCTTTGGCTATCAGTGGCTATTGACTATAACAGATTAATGTAGCCTGAAGTTTTAGAGACAGTATGATTCTAGGCAACAACTACTGAAGAACTAAAATACAGGAAGAATGCCTTTAGGCCTTTTTCTGGAAATCCCGCAGAAACATCTGGATGGTGACACAGGAAGCAAATTGCTCAACTAGATAGTATGATTCAGTCTCTAGTTTTTACAATAGACTGTGGCAGGGAACTATATATCTCATTAAAAAAACTAATTATCTGAGATATTACGTTGATCACATTCAACTGTATGTGTTCTTACTGTATAACAATTCCAGCAAGAACAAATCTACTAATAAATTCATTTTTGTTAAAGCAACTTCCCAAAGGAAAAGCATAATATTGCTGAAGAAATTACATAATTTAAGATAAACAACTGACTTCAATTGTAATAATTCTAGCAACTTGTGCTTTGAGCAATAAAGTCTCTAAAAAAAATAAACCAAAGGAAATTTCAAAATTACTTACCCTCGCTCCACCAAAAATGAATCTCTCCAAACCTTCATTTTCTTTTTCAAATGGAATCTGGAAAAACTGAAACATAGGTTTGAATCCTATTTAACTATGATTAGTACAAAGTTGTTGTTTTAACACTAGTTAAGATCCCAAATGTTTCATTGAAACCAATTTTAGCTATCTAAACACTCAGAAAAGTATAATTGTTTATCAGCTTTTTAATCAGACAGCCTAGAGCAAGTTTAGCAAACTTTTACAGATCCTGGTTAGAAGTACCTAATCTAGCATTATGGCAGAATTTGGATAAAAATGCTCCAAATCTTTCCCGATTGTTAAAACCAATTAAATCTTGGTGAACTATTGGAAGTTTCTATGAAATCCTGTCTGATAAACTATTTTGTAAGATTTTGACTGTTTTTCCCTAAGATACCTTATATACTGAAATCTTGTATAATCTGACAAATGTGAAAGATTTCTATTGTTTAAAAATTATGTGTAATCGTGAAGGTTGGGAATACTACTTTGAAATCAACAGTACCTTGGTAACCACATCAGTGGTAGGTTCCTACTGGTTTGGACCGATTCGGCTGAACTGGTAGTGGTTCAGTGGCCTTGGTCGCTGGAACCGGCAGCGACCCAGGCCTGTCACGGCCCCAAACCTGTTCTCTGGGTGGTGCCCATGGCAGCACCATCTTGTTTTTTGCTTTTGTGCATAACAATTTTCATTGGACTAGGCATGCGTGCGCACAGCGTGCACATGAGAAAATCAGCAGTAGTCCCTGCCAGAACCCAACCCTGAACCACATGGCCCTCATTATTAATCTTTGGATAACTGCAACAGCTATTCAGGTTGGGATCTCAGTCTATTGAAGATTAAGACAAATTACTTCAGAACATAGTTTATTACCAATAGTTTGTTTTGTGTGTGTGTGTGTGTGTGTGTGTCTCTCTCTGTGTGTGTGTGTATATATATGTATGTATGTATGTATGTATGTATGTATGTATGTATGTATGTATGTTTTTTTATTTGTGGAAGCAGTTAGCTTCCTCCCATAATTGGGGCTTACCAGGGATTGTAAAAAACTTTGCCCCATGCATCAGGATAAGAGAGACAAATTAAAAACAGCACAGATACTAAGAGGAAGAATTTCTTATATGTGTGTGTCTCCTTTCCCCTAACAATTTCTATGTAACACAAATATTAAAAAATATACACAAGGGAAATTTGAAATTGTAATATATGGAGATACTTTTCCCTGAAAGATTCATAGAATATTTTCCCAATGTAGAAATACAAAACAGAACCAAATGTTCCATAATGCTCTATTTAATAATCAAAACCAATGTTCTCATAACAGCAGTATATGTAAGTGTACTGAATATGTTTTCCACCCTTACCTATTGACCAATCTGTCAGAATCCAGCAGTTTTAGTATGGATTTCCCATCCATGTCAGGTGGAATATCCAGGCCAGCAATATCTAGAATTGTAGGAGCAAGATCGATGTTCAATACAATGTGAGGATTCCTGAAAAGAAATATATATACACAATCTTTACAAAACAGCTGGAACAATAATCCCAGCCTAATCTGTAGCAGATACAGTATTACACCATGTACTCTTCTGAGGATTCAAGCATTTATCAGTTTGGGGGAAAAACTAGTAATATTGGAAGTCCTCAACTTATGACTACAATTTAGCCCAAAATTTCTGTTGTTAAGTGAGTTTTGACACGTTTTACAACCCCTCTCGCCTCATTGTCAATAAATGAATCACTGCAGTTGATAAGTCAGTAACCCAGTTGTTAAGTGAACCTTGCTTCCCCAGTGACTTTGCTTGTCAGAAGAAGTGATCACATGACCTTGCACACAGCAACGGTCATAAATATGAACCAATTGCTAGGCATCTGAGTTTTGACCACACGATGATCGGAATACTGCAAAGGTCATAACTGTGAAAAATGGTTGTAACTTTGAACGTTACTGAACTGAACTGTTGTTAAGTCGAGGACTACCAGTAATTTAGAATTTATATTGCATCTGAGAGCATCACACTTAAGTTACAATAGCTTGTAACTTGTAGAGCCATTTTATTAGCATTATTTGATAGGTGAAGTCCATAAAATGATACTACATAAGATGAAATCTTGTGCTATATTATTAATTGTATACAATTCAGAAATGCTAGGTTTTGCTTCTTTCATTTTTGTAAGGAAGATATAGTTGGCTAGTTTTAAACTGGTGCAAAAATATATTTGGAAGAATATTTGTAATTGAACTGCGGGTGGGGTCCTTGGTACTCTCTAAGCCTGATTGTTTTCTTGCAGACGTTTCAATACCAAACTAGGTAATATTATCAGTGTTAAAATGCAATGAGGTTTGTTCTCATTTAATATACTAGTGGCTTACCCTATAAGTGTTGGTGGGAGAGATCTTGGTAGTTGGAATGATCAACTCAGACAAACAAGCTAAGAGTAAACAACAGCCTAATCAAGGAAATATCAAAACTTCTCCCATCAACATTGATACTGTCCCTTAGACCCATGAATGCATCATGTTTTCAACACATTGAGGTTAAGATGATTATCTAGCTCTTATAGGGCAATTCAGATATAGATATAAGATATTACAGATTGGGAGGTAGACAGTTGAAAACGAGATTAAAAAGAGCACATTTTCCTAGGCCACCTAGTTGCGTTCATGGAAGAGGCAAGATTAAAAACAACAGGAATTGATTCATAGATCATTTTTAATCATTATATTACAATAGCTCCAGCTAAGATGCTTATTGAAACAATCAAGAAGTGCAATTCAAGAAACCAAGTCTTGGAAAAAAACGAGTGCAGGGATCTTTGAGGACAAGAACATACTTGCCATAATTTACAGAGAGAAATTACAATTCAAAAATAGTGCCATATGGTTAGTTTTCTGCTCTTTTACAATTTCCAGCTCAGAAACACAGCAAGATAGCAATATGCTAATTTGCAACAATGAATGAATCCATTTGTAAATTACTGGATTTGAAAACAAACAAGGACAAGAACCAAAGATAATACATTTGTTTATTTGCTTGACAAGTGCAGCTCAATTTTAATTACCAGTTAATGCAGTGTAACATTTCAGGATAGAAGTAATGAACCTATGGTAATGAGGCCTCACTACAGCAATGACTGTTAAATCAGGGATGATAAGTGGGGGGCAGTCAGCAATTAATTTAGGTAGATGCAACCGGGCGATAGCAAAAATATCGCTGTAGATGTTTCTCTCTGTATGGAAATAAGAACACCATTTGAGTCTCTGACAAATCACCTTGTCGAGTGTGTACAAGTTCCCTTTTTACCATTTTCTCTAATGGGATGAACTCTTGATTTACTGGGGTCATTGTGACTGATCTGTGCAAGCGTTACAAAAAAATGAATTTTGATTCTAAGAAGACTCTCAAACGAAGGCTTATGAAACACTGATTGCAGGGAATCTAAAATGCTACACTCTCAGGATGTCCTGAAGAATCAGACTACTGTCAAGGTTAACAATACATTGCAATGGACACTTCTTTAATCAGTTCTAGAACATCACACAAACGTGATATGTCTTTTATAAGACATAAAAGAGGCAATCTTTACTGTTCCTTTCTCCTCCTGTACCTTCTGAAAAGTTGATCTCAAGAACTGGGGAATTGTTGGCAGCAGCATGAAAGCTTATGGGGAAATTGGTGAAAACAAAATTCCTGTCCCTTCCTCCAGTCAAAGGTTGTGTTGGGACCTTTAAATCCCTTAATGCTGGGGTTTTCAAAGTGTTGTTTGGGGAATTTAAGCAAACTCGGTGGGAGTTACAAGTTTCCTGGGGTATTTAGGCTGAAATTTGATTACCTAGGGTGACAGATAAGCTTATTTCTTGCCTACCCTAGACCCAAAATCAGTGATTTTGTTTGCAGGGTAATTACCTTGGTTCTTTGTGGGTGGGAATGGGGTTTCTTGGTGTCATTAAGGCTGAGAACTTTGCATTAACTTATGAACTTTAAAATCTTTGTATGAATCAGAACTATCTTGACATAGGGTCTTGTTAATTTTGAATTAGTCAAGAGGACTTGGAATTCAGTGTACAAGATTTCTCACATCGATTAAGAAAGAGCTCTAGGGAAACTAGAAAACTAAACCAACTGTTTAAAATAAGGTGTGTTTGCTTACACCTGCCTTCCTTAAGCTGGTGCTGTTTAGACACTTTGATCTATAACTCTCATCAGATTTGATTATGCAGAGAATTGTGGCCAAAAACATTCAGAGTTCCTGGCCTGAAGAAGGCAGATCTCACAAAATGCTCAGTCAGAAGCCCTTGTCTTAACAGACTAGGTTCGTGATGGTGAACCTGTAGCACGCGGACCCATTTGTTAGGGCACGCCAGGCATTGCCCTGTCAGTTGCCCTGGCCAGCTTACTTCAGCCTTCTTTTTTGCCCATTTTTCGCCCTCTGGAGGCTTCCCTGAAGGCTTCCTAAGGAGAAAAACGGCACTACGGGCAAAGCAGTGCCTGAACTTCTGGGTTGCCCATAGGGGCGTTTTTCAAGCCTCCGGAGGGCCTCCGGGGGGGGGGGAGACTGTTTTCACCCTCCTCAGGCTCCTAAAAAGCCTCTGGAACCTGGGGAGGGTGAAAAAGCACGTCAAAAGCGGGGGAGAGGGCATTGGTTGGGTGCGCATCAGAGGTGGGTTCCTACCAGTTCGCACCTATTCGGTAGAACCGGTTCGTCAAATCTACCAAACAGGTTAAAAGAGTTTCCACCAGTGGACCCGGAAAGCAGGCCACACCTACAGATGAGGTTCCAAAATTTTTTGAAACCCACCACTGGTGCGCATGCATGCATGGGAGGGATCATGCGCAGAGCATTATGGGTGTGGGCATGCCCACACACGATCCCCCTGCGCTCCCTCCGCTTTTAGCACGGAATCAAAAAAGGTTAGTCATCACTGGACTAGGTCAAGCTCAACAAATTATTCCAATCAAATGCTTGTACTTTCTCTTTCCCCCCTATTGAACAATTATTGCTTATCAATGTGGCTGATACTGTTTCAATCCCCGGATAAGGTTCCTTACTACTACACATAACATGCATAGCATCAGATATTGGCTATGAGGAGAGTATCAGTGATCTTAGAGCAGGGGTGTCAAAATTGCATCCCGCGGGCTGGATGTGTCATGCACTAGCCACACCCACCCCTGGTTTAGTGAAGGGGGGAAAAGTTGTGATATGTCACGTGACAACAACATGTCATCGTGAGCTTGATATCCCTGTCTTAGAGGTATGTTGGACTTCGTCTTCTGTGTCTAGATCAAACTTTAAACTTCCAGAATGAAGCCACCTTCTTGGCTTTGTCACTGGCCAAAAATAAGTTATTATCGGTACATGTTTCTGTTAGTAGTCGACATACAAGCAGATGAGCTGGGTTCTGCGTCTCTTCACATTCACACAGTGTATTGTTATGCTCTAAGAGCCTCCACTTGAGCATACATTTTTGGTTTTACATTTAGGCCCTCCAACTTTCAACCTATTCAGAGTCCTCCAGGTCAAATCCTTCAGCCTTTAATGTTATTCCTTACTCAGTGGTCTCCTTCCTCCATCTTTTAATTCAATTTTGTTCTTGTGTACACTCAAGAATGTTTATTCTTGCCATAAAGCCGTTCCTAGATATGAGTTGGCAGGCTTGGGACATATGCCCATTCAGAGGGTGACGAGGATCAATCTTTTGCTTAGATCTCTCGGCATCTGCTGCTACTTAACTTAAATTGGACTTAACTTTCATGATGTTCAATATGAAGTGTCATCGGATCAGAGTTTGAAAAAATTAGCAACATCCTATTATGCTTTAGGTAATCTTAAATTGTGTTATAGGCATACTCTTATTGTTTTGTTCTTCATCTGGTTTTTTTTTTACCTTGATAAAATTCATTTCAACTGAAAAAAATCTATGAACAGTTAAGTGTAGATATTTTATAGATAGAACTGTTGCCGTTTTGCAATATTTTTCTTTCTTTATAGTAAAAAGAAGGAAAATACAAGTACTACTTGTGTTAATTCATGCATACTGGTATATATTCATATTCATATACACACATACATGCACACAGACAATTTTAGGGTAGGAATAATTACTACATTGCAGAAATTAAGCACTAAAATAATTTGTAGATTCACATCCTATAACTGATGTGAAATTCTCTCCTCTCTGTCTCACTTGTAATCGGAACACAAAAAAAATATGGCATAATTCTGCTACTTTACATAATCACTTTCTGATTATTCCTGTCTAATAGAACAGTTAACTTCTTACAGTATTTTTATTTAGAAATCTGTCTTTCACCCTAGAGATAAAAAGAGTTGGATAAAAATTTAACACTCATTTCATCACAGAAATACCAGGCTTTCTTCACAGTTTTCAGAAGCATAGTCTTTTATTTTTCACTTAGAATTTGGATGTATAAAGAAAGATTTTTTATTTATCCTAGATGTGTAATCAAACTAATTAAATAATTTACAAAGTAGGTTTTTCAGAACACAACTAAACTTTGGCTTAGAAAAGTATTCTAAATTTTGTGAAGCCAAACAATGAGCTTTATAGCAGCATCTGTTTCAGGTCATGTTAATTTATGATTATTGTATTTTTACTCTTACAGAGAAAACTTGGTAAATTTCCTACCTCAAGAAACAAAATTTTTTGGATTGGAATTTCTAAACTTCATTTCAAATTTAAAACATCTCTTTTAAAGCACGAAAACTTTTGATTGGAAGCTTGAATGGACATTCAAGCATCTTAGACTCTTGCAAGATGTTTGAGACAGTTCATTATGCACCCAAAACAGCATTTTATCATGCAAAGTGGGGTGTTTCAAATTCAGTATGGTTTGATTTGAAATGTACACTGCCTTATTTTATTGTCTTAGGGCAGGGGCGTCAAACTCACGTCGTCATGGTGGCGTCATGTGACGTATCAGAACTTTTTTCTCCTTCGCTAAACCGGGTGTGGGCGTGGCCAGTGTGTGATTTGGCCTGCGGCCTGGGAGTTTGACTGCCTAGTCTTAAGGCATCATTTGAATACATATTATTTATTAATAAGCAGTCAAGGTTGCTTAAAATAATTCTTAAACAATTAAACAAAATGTTTTTAACCACTTTGCTACCTATGGGAGTTAGGGGGGGGGGCAAATGCTCCTTCTTAGGGAGAGTACTGTACACATGAGAAGGCCTCTCCCTTGTGCCAGGTAACTGAGCTTTAGGAAGCAAAGACATCTTCAAAAGGGCCTCTCCTAATGATCCAAGTAATCAGGTCCAGTTAATAATGGAAATGGCTCCTTAGACCAATGTTTCTCAACTGCCACAGCTTTCAGATGAATGAACTTCACAATTTCCCAGCCAGCATGCATGCTTGAAAGGTTAAATTGGGTTTGGTCAGCAGGCTTATCTTTCAGTATAGGCATTATGTCATGCTTCTACTTTACATTGGTTATAAATGTAAAATGTAAAAACTGCCAGTTGTACTTTCCAGTAATTAAGATGGATTGTAACCAAGCCATGGATAGCTACTGCAAAATAAATTTGCAAAACATTCCTTGTCATAGCCATAATCTGCAAATCCTGGGGGTCAAAGAGAACTCCCAAATTATAGATCTGCTTTTTGTGGGAGAGTAAAACTTCAGTTAAAACAGGCTTCGCTTAAACCCTAACCTTCCCTGAACATCTTGGCTTAACTACACATTTTAAGTGGAAATATGAGAAATATTAACTGGAAACATGAGAAAAAAGTGAAATGCGTGCTTGGGAAAAAAGTGAAATCTGAAGAATAGATCTGACACTGAACACGTGCAAAGTGAATGGACGAAAAACTAGGTCATTTATCCTTATGTGGATGGAGAAGAAAATTGGTCTGGAAGGCTGCTATGCTTTGCACATTCAGACATTCTCCTTTAATAGAGGATAGTATACTGCAGTGTATAGATTTTAAAATCGGGGAAAAATATATCATCCACAATTCTATTATTCCTTCCACATGCTACTTGCTTATTAGGAACAGACCTATAACTGAATTTAGGGAAACTGGCAATAGGAAAGTCAACTGAAGAACATTCAGTACAGTGCTTCAACTCCTTTTCCTGGATACCATCCTTGGAAAAATAACCTTTCTTTGATGAAAAGGTAGCCCAGGGGAAGAGGAATGGCAGCTTCAAGACTGTATAGTACAGTGATGGCTAACCTTTTTGCCATTGCGTGCCAAAACTGGGGGTCGTGCACGTGCGTACCCATCATTCTATGTACCTGTTCTCCACGCATGTGTGCGTGACCATCCTCCCGCACGATCCTTGCTTTTGGCATGCAATGGCATGGCGGGCCCATTTTTCACCCACCCCAAGCTCCAGACCCTTTCTAGGAGCCTGGGGAGGGCAGAAATGGTCTTTCCCACCTGCTCAGAAACCCTCTGGAGACCGGAAATGGCCCATTTCCCAACTTCTGGTGGGCCCAGAAGGCCCGAAAACCAGCTGGCCAGCGTGCCCATGCGCACCGGAGCTGAACTCACGTGCCCGCTGATCTGGTTCCGTGTGCCGTAGGTTCACTATCATGGATATAGTAGATAGAACAGAAGTAATGGTCACAACTGGATGAAATTTAGAGGGGATACTTAACAAAGAGGTCACCTATGATAGGATAATTGAATAAGGAAATATATTATCTTTCATCTTATTAAAGGCAGATGTTTTGAATATTGCTTGAATGCCAGCAAAATATTAGTTTTATGCAGACATATCCTACATCCAAGAAGAAGTAAAGTAGGAAGCAATGTTGGCACATGTACAAATTCTTCCTTATATTTAGGTGCTTGACTGCTTTATAGATTCAATATGAAGATCTTTACCAGGATCCCTCGCTTCTTTACAGAGTTTCCTGATGGCTGAAGCCCTAAACACATTGAACCCAAAACAGAAATGTTTGTAGGTGCCTACCCTGATTACACACACTCAGTACATTGCTCAATGCAGAATTAACCTAGAGCCACCATGCCCATTAACTTACAAGGATCCAGCCTCCACATTTGGACCACGTATGTAGAAAGGAACTCTGATGTCGAATTCATATGGCATGGATTTTCCTTTCACCAGTCCAAATTGCCCAATATGATAGCCATGATCTGCTGTGTATATTACATAGGTATTTTCCAGTTCACCTGTTTCAACTAATGTATTATAAATCTGAAAAATAAAATAAATACATTAATGAATAAAATAAATACATTCATAGAGGCACTATGTCTTAGACTGAAAAAAACCAATAATCTCATTGTTATTATGTTATATGTAAATAACACTGAATATGTAATATTATTCCATTGGTATTAAAAGTATTTGATTCTTAAAAATTATTTATTCTCTAGAACTGGTCAGAATCTCCTGAATATCACCTCTGAATTTACACTCCTCCCCCCCTACAAATGTACATTTATGTTTAATACTTCAAACAGGTGCAACAAATTAAAAAGAACATGCACTAAACCGGAAACAGCATAAAATTGTAATTATAGGGGCTAACATTAAGCAATTTCTTCATGACCAAGGATTACTCTTCTGTTTGACCAAAGTATGTTATTAAATCCTTTAAAAATACTTGAGGGGGAGGAAGTTTAACTGCTCTGTGTCCCATTACTTGAAATTGAAAAAATAGAAGGGATTTTGGTCACGGTACTGAACATGAAAACTCTTTTATACTATACCTAATTTTACTCAAAGATAATTAAAATAGGAACAAAACTGTATGATTCCCATAACCATCACAGTACTTAGCAGTTCTCCCCCACCCCCACCCCCAATCTTATATCTTTCAGAGCTTTTAGTCCTTAGCTCCTATAATAGGGCTGAGATCCAAAATGGATTACTGGCTTTCTTAGTTCATAATGTTTTGGTTATTTAAATCAGGGGTCTCCAACCTTGGCAACTTTAAGACTTGAGGACTTCAACTCCCAGAATTCCTCAGCCAGAAAAGCTGGCTGATGACTTCTAGGAGTTGAAGTCCATAAATCTTAAATTTGCCAAGGTTGGAGATCCCTGATTTAAAAGGTCAGTTATCCTCAACTGAGATGGACTATACACGTATCCAATTGTTTTGATTTTTTATATCAATAACTACATTTTATGGGATTATGCATTCTGAATTCTGCTTTGGTTAACTTATCTTCGGTGAAACATTTTCCTTCAAACTGTGTTTCTGGTTTTATGAAAGGCTGTTCCTTTAGCTGACAAGGAATGCTAACCATAGCATTTTATGATGACCCAGATACTTTCATTTTTTAATACAGAAAAGCAGGTCAAAGCATAACTATTTTTGGAGTCCGTCTGTGAGAAAGCAGAAGGTTAAGTCTGACTGACTGATAGGATGTTAAAATGTATCGCTCTTATTTATAAGTGTGTATTTTACATCAGCAAATTTACTAGGGATTATTTTAAGACCGAATAGCCACTATGATAAATTGCAAGACTACTATTTCCTAAAATGTATATAGTAGCATTGGCAAAAAGATTATAACATCCTAGAACAGACCACAACAGACCCTAACCCCAAATCCAATGGTGAAATTCATTTTTTTTACTACCAGTTCTGTGGGTGTGGCTTGGTGGGTGTGGCAGGGAAGGATACTGCAAAATCTCCATTCCCTCCCCGCTCCAGGAGAAGGATACTGCAAAATCTCTATTCCCACCCCGCTCTGGGGCCAGCC